CACACACACACACGGACATACATTTACATATACCTCCAACCTCTGTTCTTTCTTTAGTATGGCAGAGGAGATAGTAGTTGTGGTACAAAATTGTTAAGTAAATACACCTTTTTCATCGTCTTCTCTAATTATACCCTTTGCCCACAAACACATTTCAAATATGTTCTGGACTAAATCATTAATAGAACAGTCTCAAAAGAGGGGCTAAAGGAATGGTATGCAACTGGGACTAGGGAATATCTTGTTAACAATTTACATTGCATTTCTTTACTTTTTGCCGATTCCATGGAACTACATTTCCCTGAGCGCCACTATTGATCTGACAGTACTGGCTGCCAGTTGGCAAGGAGGATTCACCTAGATTAGGTGGTTACTTCCTGTTCCTGTCTACAGACTTGGAAAAATGGACAGAATTTACTTTGTCCAAAGGTTTCTCAGAACACAGTGGTACAAAATGTTCAGAAGTAGGAAAATTCCTTTAAAAGCTATGTCTGGTTACCCTCAGATAAACATTTCCATTAATATTTCATCTCATTTTGAGCGCCTTTCCAGTTTATAGTTTTTTTTTCAATGTATGTAGGTGGCCTCAAACCATATGGTAAAAGTATTTTCCAAAAACATTCAATCTTTGTCTTACTATGAACTCTTTTCCTTATTTCCTTCTCATTGAGCAGCAGCTACTCTAAATAGGGTCAAAAGCCTTTTTCTGGTTTTTGATCTGTCTCTGATTAAGCTGATGTCTTACGTCCTTTTGGGAGCTCATACATGTTTTAATAACACATTCAAGAATGAAATTGAATATTTTGTCACTCTATGCTTGCTATTTTTGTTGCTATTTTTAGATAATACGTATTGAATGTTCCCATAGTCATTGCTCTGTACAAAGCAGTGATCACACGCAAGATACAATCTCTTGCTCTTAGTGATTTTTATTCTGTTCTAGTTTACTTTAAAATGCTTACCTTCCCAGGTTTCTTTCCCCATTAAACACTGCCTTTATGCATTTTAGTTATTTTTAATTCATTTATGTGTTCTTTTTTTTTTGAAAAACAAATTTTGTATTGTGATTTAGGTGAAAGTTTACAGAGAAAATTCATTTTCCATACAGCAGTTCACATTCACTTTGTCTGATGACATTGACTGCAATTTCCCACAATGAAACAGCTTTCCTCCTACTTCCTCCCCATAGCTACCTCCTCCCTGTGTCCTTCCCTCCCATGCACTCCTGCCCCCTGCATTTATGTGTTCTTTATAAAAGTTTTACATGAACATTTGTAAATGGAAAAATAGAGATCCAGATTTTTAAGGGATAGTTTTATTTTGTCTACTAAAACTCTGATTTCTTTCATCACTAGTCACCTGTCCTAAACACAGGGTGTTGCCAAGTGGCATGCCCTCACATCTTTGATAAAGATCATTCCCATAATACCACCCCCAACAAGTGGATGTTGGCTAGGGCAGGTAAGGAACAGGGAGAGTGCAGGTGATTCTGCATCTACTCTACCTCTTGTGAGGGTTCTTGAGAACACATATTCAACAGTGCTTAAGACTCATAGAATGTTAATCTAGAAGAGACTGTCAGACTACTCACTGTTCCCCAATTGTACTGTATACTTTTAGATCTCCATGCCCTTGCTCATGATGGAGTGCCTTTTCTCTCCAGTTGGCCTGGCAAAATGCAACTTACCTTCCAGCATCCTGCCCTCTGATGTCATCATTGATAGTGTAGCACCATAAGAAACTGTATATCATCCCCCCCCCACCCAGCATGTATGTGAGTGCCCTGTAACGTATTTCATAGTATAACATTTTCTTTTGTGTTATTTTTCTATTTGCCCTTTAAAATTTGAATGATTTGCAAGGAGATAAGGTTATATTAAGAATGATGTATGTATGCATTATAATGAGATAAAATAGATACTTGAAGATAAGGTACTTTTAAATTATTTTCATTTCTGGTGTTTTTGATGGGAAATGAATTGTCTCACAATTTTAGGTTTCTCACCCAAGTCACTGAGGAAGAAAATGTATGACTTAGTTTGGTTTTGTAGAGAAGTCATCATGGTATTTTAAAGATATGTTATTATGTATGTTACAGTGTGATTCACTTTATTTTGAAGCTGCCAAAGGACTTGCCTTACGTAGAGATACTTTCTATGGGTGTTTTTATGGGAGAGGATTGATGTCTTACTATCCATAAAAACTGTTGCTGACGTTCACTGGAACAAATTAGAGAGTAAAAATGAAGAGGTGAAATTCATTTTTAAAGATAATGGGTGAAATTTAGAGCACTAGTATATGCATGATTCATGATGAAATGGTGAGAACGTAATCACATCTATTTCGTGTCTTCCTAATCAAGTACAGGCAATTCCCAGTTGCAAATATCTGACTTACAGACAACTTTTACTTGCCTTTTAATGT